GTATGTGAAGAGCAGTTGCCGCCTTTCTTGAAAAGAAAATACCAGCCTTAATCATTTGTATAATTAATTAGTTATGCGTGACAAGGAGTGATATCAGAGAAAATTCTGTAAAATCACCAACAAACTACTCACAGTTTGATTCTGCTGTATAGATGGATTGCTCCCAGTGTCTCCCTGTCTCCCAGTGTCTCAGTCTCCCAAGTCACCCAGTGTCTCAGTGTCCCTATGTATCACAGTGTCAGTGTCCCCATGTCGCCCGGTCCCCTAGTCTCCCAGTGTCTGTGTCCCCATTTCTCCCAGTGTCCCAATGTCTCAGTGTGTCCCCATGTCACTAGAATACTGGGGACACTGAGAGACATGAGGACACTGAGAGACATGGGGACACTGGGAGACATGAGGACACTGAGACATTTAGGGAAACTGGGAGAAATGGGGACACTGAGACGCTAGGGACACAGACACTGGGAGACATGGGGACACTTAAACATTTGGGGACACTAAGACACTAGGGACACAGACATGGGAACACAGACACTGGGAGACTAGGGGACACTGGGAGACTAGGGGACACTGGCTGGGAGACAGACACTTGGGGACACTGGGAGACATGGGTACAGTTGTGGACATAGACATGTGGACACTGGGACATATAGGGACACTGGGAGACATTGGGACACCAGGCACACTGAGACACTAGGAACACAGACACAGGGAGACATGGAGACACTGAAACATTTGGGGACACTAAGATACTAGGGACACAGACACTGGGAGACTAGGGGACACTGGGAGACTAAGGGATACTGGGAGACTAAGGGACACTGGCTGGGAGACAGTTGTGGACATAGACATGGGGACACTGGGACACATGGGGACACTAGGCACACTGAGAGACATGGGACACAGACACTGGGAGACTTGGGGACACTAAGACACTAGGGGCACTGGCTGGGGGACATAGTGTCTCCCTGTCTCAATGTCTCATTGTCTCCCAATGTCCCTATGTCTCACAGTGTCCCCATGTGTCTCAGCATCCCCATGTGTCCCAGTGTCCCCTAGTGTCCCCAGGTCTCCCAGTGTCTGTGTCCCCATGTGTCCTAGTGTCTCAGTGTCCCCTAGTGTCTGTGTCCCCATGTGTCCCCGAGGGTCTGTGTCCCCTAGTGTCTCAGTGTCCCCATATGTCCCCAAGTGTCTCAGTGTCCCCATGTTTTCCAGTGTCCCCAAGTGTCTGTGTTCCCAGGTCTCCCAGTGTCTGTGTCCTAGTGTCTCAGTGTCCCCTAGTGTATGTGTCATCATGTGTCCCCTAGTGTCTGTGTCCCCTAGTGTCTCAGTGTCCCCATGTGTCCCCTAGTGTCTGTGTCCCCATGTGTCCCTGCTGCCTTTCCCCCATCCCTCACTTACCTGAGCTGTAGGTCTGCTGTCAGGACTCTCTGTGCTGTGTAGCTGCTCCCCCACGGATCAGTGAGTAGCAGAGAGAGTCAGGGATATTCTGTAACTTCCTATACCTGCCTCTCTCCACACACAGTGACCCCAACTGGCCGGTGCTGGTATTGCAGAGTAATTTACATTTATTCTGAGAAAATGACCTGCATTTGTATTGCCGGTATTACTGCAATACCGGCATGGCTAGGCAGCATCAAATACCGTCTGTGCCATTAAAATACCAGTCAGGGGGCAAACCTAAGAGTAGTGTGTAAAAAAAAAAAATTTTTTTTTTTTTTCTTTTTATGGGCCTATTCCATGGGCCTGGGCCTGGGCCTGGAGCTGCAGCTCCATCAGCCCCTATGTTAATCCGGCCCTGGTTCTACTGCCAGTACCTAAATGTAAAGGTTCTACTGCTGGTAACTAAATGTAAAGGTTCTGCTGCCGGTAACTAAATATAAAGATTCTACTGCTGGTAACTAAATATAAAGGTTCTGCTGCCGGTAACTAAATATAAAGGTTCTACTGCCGGTAACTAAATGTAAAGGTTCTACTGCCGGTAACTAAATGTAAAGGTTCTACTGCTGGTAACTAAATGTAAAGGTTCTGCTGCCGGTAACTAAATATAAAGATTCTACTGCTGGTAACTAAATATAAAGGTTCTGCTGCTGGTAACTAAATGTAAAGGTTCTACTGCCGGTAACTAAATATAAAGGTTCTACTGCCGGTAACTAAATATAAAGATTCTACTGCCGGTAACTAAATATAAAGGTTCTGCTGCCGGTAACTAAATGTAAAGGTTCTACTGCCGGTAACTAAATATAAAGGTTCTGCTGCCGGTAACTAAATATAAAGGTTCTGCTGCCGGTAACTAAATATAAAGGTTTTGCTGCCGGTAACTAAATGTAAAGGTTCTGCTGCCGATAACTAAATATAAAGATTCTACTGCCGGTAACTAAATGTAAAGGTTCTACTGCTGGTAACTAAATGTAAAGGTTCTACTGCTGGTAACTAAATATAAAGGTTCTGCTGCCGGTAACTAAATATAAAGGTTCTACTGCCGGTAACTAAATATAAAGATTCTACTGCTGGTAACTAAATATAAAGGTTCTGCTGCCGGTAACTAAATGTAAAGGTTCTGCTGCCGGTAACTAAATATAAAGGTTCTGCTGCCGGTAACTAAATATAAAGGTTCTGCTGCCGGTAACTAAATATAAAGGTTCTGCTGCCGGTAACTAAATGTAAAGGTTCTGCTGCCGATAACTAAATGTAAACTAAATGTAAAGGTTCTGCTGGTAACTAAATGTAAAGGTTCTGCTGGTAACTAAATATAAAGGTTCTGCTGCCGGTAACTAAATGTAAAGGTTCTGCTGCCGGTAACTAAATATAAAGGTTCTGCTGCCGGTAACTAAATGTAAAGGTTCTACTGCTGGTAACTAAATGTAAAGGTTCTGCTGCCAGTAACTAAATATAAAGGTTCTACTGCCGGTAACTAAATATAAAGGTTCTACTGCCGGTAACTAAATATAAAGGTTCTACTGCCGGTAACTAAATATAAAGGTTCTGCTGCCAGTAACTAAATGTAAAGGTTCTACTGCCGGTAACTAAATATAAAGGTTCTACTGCCGGTAACTAAATATAAAGATTCTACTGCTGGTAACTAAATATAAAGGTTCTGCTGCCGGTAACTAAATATAAAGGTTCTACTGCCAGTAACTAAATATAAAGGTTCTGCTGCCGGTAACTAAATATAAAGGTTCTGCTGCCGGTAACTAAATGTAAAGGTTCTGCTGCCGGTAACTAAATATAAAGATTCTGTAACCGTGTGTGGTTCCCTTATTTACCACTATAATGTCTTAAAGCATAGAACTTAGTAGGGCTAACCATACAGATATCTTAGCCATAATTTTATATAGTGTAAGAGATCCTCTATTTAACATATATAAATAATTGAGAATACAATATAAAATAAGGATTGTCTTGGAAGCAAGATTGTCTTTTTGGATATTTATTATATAAAAATATAAAATCCATTATAGCAGAGTTTATAAAATTAAATTACATGCTTGCAAATATCATTAATAGGTTAACATACCCTTCTGAACATGTCATCATGTCAGCCTCTCTGTCATTTTAAGATGGAGCAGCGTCTGTCTCCAAGTCTCTCCTCTGTCTCTTAACATTTAAAAGTACACCTATTTATACCTTAGGTGTCGTCATTTTAGAGTTACCATAGTTCATATGTGAAAAAGTACCACTTCTTTTACTTTATTCATTTTAGGACCTCCCTTAATTTGGCAAACATACAAGGCCATAACTAAAGGGTGTATACGTCATGGAAATTTTCCTGACTTAGTTCAAGATGGCATCTTAAAGTCTGAATAGGTTATCTGTTGTTTATACCAAGTCGTAAGTGTACAGTCGCGGGAGATTCCCGGATTTGGGGAAGTTCCATTAACTTGGGGTTACCACAGTATATTGTGTACTGCAAGAGTCGTAGCATAGCCTTGAAGCTTGTTTATGCATTATTGTAATTCGTCTGGGACAAAATGGCTCAAACATATTATGCACTGAGGTTATTGCTTAAAGAAACAGTTATGAAAAACAATATGTTCCATTTCTAACACCTTGTCAGTTTGCAATATCTCTTAAAGACAAAGTACACAGTTTAAGAAATACAACATTTCATTCTAAAACTTGTAATATTTGCATTTGCCCGTAACAATTCTACTGCCGGTAACTAAATGTAAAGGTTCTACTGCTGGTAACTAAATATAAAGGTTCTGCTGCCGGTAACTAAATATAAAGGTTCTGCTGCCGGTAACTAAATGTAAAGGTTCTGCTGCCGGTAACTAAATATAAAGGTTCTGCTACCGGTAACTAAATGTAAAGGTTCTGCTGCCGGTAACTAAATGTAAAGGTTCTACTGCTGGTAACTAAATGTAAAGGTTCTGCTGCCAGTAACTAAATATAAAGATTCTACTGCTGGTAACTAAATATAAAGGTTCTGCTGCCGGTAACTAAATGTAAAGGTTCTACTGCCGGTAACTAAATATAAAGGTTCTACTGCTGGTAACTAAATATAAAGGTTCTGCTGCCGGTAACTAAATGTAAAGGTTCTACTGCCGGTAACTAAATGTAAAGGTTCTGCTGCCGGTAACTAAATATAAAGATTCTACTGCTGGTAACTAAATATAAAGGTTCTGCTGCCGGTAACTAAATGTAAAGGTTCTACTGCCGGTAACTAAATATAAAGGTTCTACTGCCAATAACTAAATATAAAGGTTCTGCTGCCGGTAACTAAATATAAAGGTTCTGCTGCCGGTAACTAAATATAAAGGTTCTACTGCCGGTAACTAAATATAAAGATTCTACTGCTGGTAACTAAATGTAAAGGTTCTACTGCCAATAACTAAATATAAAGGTTCTACTGCTGGTAACTAAATATAAAGGTTCTGCTGCCAGGTATTGAATTTAAATATTTTCTGACTTCATGCTTGATCCAGACGGTTTGATTCTTTGGCACTCAGATATTGTATTATGAATTAGTTGTAGAGATATAAATGTTGACAGAATCCTGTGATTTCGTGATTTTATTCGTTCATCTTTAATAATGAATGGGATCACATTCTCATAGCATTGCCATAATATTATTATACATATAATCAGCAATATGATATCCTGCTTTAATTAACATCAACTCTAAAAAGTAATTTTAGGATCCACTTCACAGGAATATCTTCGACTGCGCGTAACTGTACGGGCACATAGCGACATTTGGATTAAGGGAAGTATTCTTTATTAGTCAAAGATCAATGAAAAAAAATCATATATTAAGTAAGAGTAAAGTAAGAACAAATTAAACAAATTAAGCAAAGCTAGCATACCGGGCGACATGCAGAAATTATTCTGGGAAAATCCTAACATAGAGACTAGTGGGGCCATTGTGAAGGGAACGTACAGAGTCTGTGAATTCAAATTGTTCGCTAATTTTGAAAGTCTTGTCTGGTTGTTTCTATATTTTCTTTCCTCTATAACATAGCTCAGGATTAATTCACTGTAGGGCTCTATTAACACATTAAATGGGCATTTGACTACGTTCAGGCCACCACGACAGACAATAATCTAGTAATTCTAATATTGGGGTTTTCAGTGAATCTGGATATGTAGCTAATACAATATAAATGAATGGTTTAGACTTGAAACACCCTGTGTTGTATGTTTTATATGAATTTGTGATTGGAATACGTTGTTAGGTGAATAGGTACGGTCACCAATAACAATGCAACATTCACCAAAATTTAAACCACGGTTTCTTTTTCTCGACCTCTAGTTCCCTACGATAATATTCTATCTGATTCTCCAAAGCTTCTTTCTGCTTCTCAAGCTCTCTCTCGTTTGCAAATTTATAAAGAAATCTTTTCCTATTAATTCTGTCTTTCACAGGATCTCTTTCCGCTTTCATTCTGAATTCCACATCTTGGAGAATCTCATACAATAACCTTAAATTGGTTTCATGTCTCCCTCTCACTTTCAAGTGATCATCTTTGGTGTAATTCTCCAAGTCAAACATGTTCTGACCTCCCATCATCCTGAATTTCTCCTTCACATTTGCCATGTTTTGGTGCGTTCCATGTGTGAGAATAATAGTGGGAAAAATACCTGCCGTGAGAAAGAGGCCATTGTAGTGTTAGGCGGACCTTGTACATAAACTCTTATATTAAAGCAAGGAGAATTAGAATACTAATTGAACTGAAGCTTAGCCTGCATTCAGCTTACTGACAGCTCCAGTCACAGTTTTGCAAGTGGTGCTATAAGGTTCCTTTACAATGCATCTCCCCATAGCAACTCTATGGGGAGCAATCAGTGCCTCCATGCAGAGTGTGCAGCACTGTACTAGGAAGCATCTCTAGAGGCCGTCTGAGTGACTGTCACTAGAGATGTGCCTAGGCAGCAATGTAGACACTGCCTTTTCTCTTAAAAGGTAGCATTTACAGTGCTCATCCTACAGGGACAGGTTATAGGCACCAGAACCACTACATTAAACTGCAGTAGTTCTGGTGACTATAGTGTCCCTTTAATACGACGTCTTTCTCTCACGGGCTGACTCTAAGTTACAGGGAGAGCAGGAGACACAAGTGAAGATGCATTTTGTTTGTGTCTTTCTTCCTGAAGCCCCTTTCATGTGTCCCGTAGCCCCAGGTCCATTGTCTATTTCTCCCTTTCCCCAGCTCTTCTGTGAGTCTCCTCTTCTGTGAGTGTCCCAGCACCTCTATGTGTATATTTCCCCACAGCTCCTCTGTGTATCTCATTATCCCCTTTCCCAGCCCCTCAGTGTGTCTCTTGTTCGTCCTCCTCAGCTCCTCTGTGTATGTCTCCTGTTCCCGTTTCCCAACCCCTCTGTCTCTTCCTCCCCACACACCTCCGTGTGTCTCATTACCCCACAGCCCTCCATGTGTCTCATTCCACCGTCACCAGTCTTCCATATGTCTCAGTAGCCCCCAACATGCGTCCCATTAGCCCCCAGCCCTCCATGTGCCCCACTAGCCCTCCCTCCCAGCCCTCCATGTGTTCCTATAGCACACGTCCAGCCCTCCATGTTTTCCTATGCCCCATCTCAGCCCTGTATTTGTCTCATTAACCCTCCCACATGTCCCATTAGCCCCCCAGCCCTCCATGTGTCCTTATACCCCCATCCCAGCCCTCCATGTGTCACTATACTCCCTTCCTGGCTCTCCATATGTCCTTATATCCCCCTCCCAGCAATCCATGTGTCTCATTAGTTCTGCAGTTCCACCCCCAACTCTCCCTGTGTTCTATTAGTCCCTGCCCTCAGCTCTCCCTGTATCCCATTAGTCCCCCCCTGCTCTCTCTGTGTCCCATTAATTCCCCCCAGCTCTGCATGTGTCCCATCTGTTGCCCCCCAGCTCTCCCTGTATCCCATTAGTCTCCCCTCCCCAGCTCTCCCTGTCCCATTAGTTCCCCCAGCTCTCCCTGTGTCCCATTAGTTCCCCCACAGCTCTCCCTGTGTCCTATTGGTTCCCCACCAGCTCTCCCTGTGTCCCATTAGTCCCCCCCAGCTCTCCCTGTGTCCCATTAGTCCCCCCCAGCTCTCCCTGGGTCCCATTAGTCCCCCCCAGCTCTCCCTGTGTCCCATTAGTTCCTCCCTTCCCCCATGAGCTCTCCCTGTACCTTGCTGTAGCATGGCTGAGCAGGCAGACCGTGGTGGAGGAGCTCCTGCTCGCTGTACCTGGTCTGACGGGAAGCAGTTCTGTGCTCTCTGTGAGCACTTCCTGTCAGACCGGGTAGGGAAACAGAAGCTCCTCTACCCGCAGTCTGCCTGCTCGGCCACGCTACATGTGCCCCCCTACTGCTGGTCACTCTATAATTGCACGGTTCGGCCAGTGGCGCCCGCTCACCAGCTCGCTACTGTGCCGGGCCACCAGGAAGTTTCCCGGTATCACCGTGGGCCAGTCCGGTCCTGCTGTGAATATTGTTACGATAATTATATTTTACCTGTTATGTTCTTGGCCTTATCTAGCAGTTCCTTTAAGTCTTGGAAGTTCTGATCAGCTATTGCTTGCCTCACACTGTAAAATAAAGGTCAGAATTGTTGCAGATCAGCATCAAACACGAGCTCTGAAACTATCTTACATAATGTGTCCTTTATAGAGAGAACTAATTAATAATCTCAAACGGTTTCCCTTTTCCACACGTAAAGCAATGTTACTACGGTATGCAGATGTATTTCTAAGAAAATGGAAACTGCCAGGCCCTAGCAAAAGACATAATAGTGCATGGTAGACAGAGGAGGCAGCACTGCTGGGTATCTTAGAGGGACTTTCCAAGTACCATCACCACTTCAGCTTATTGTAGGATAAAAGCTCATTGCATATTATCGCTCGGTGTGTTATTACAGCTCAGTGTGTTATCATATCTTGTTGTATTATTACAGCTCAGGGTGTTATTACAGCTCAGTGGGCTTATTACAGCTCATTGTATGGATTCAGCTTGTTATATTATTACCGCTCATTGTATGGATTCAGCTTGTTATATTATTACAGCTCCTTGCATTAATATAGCTTGTTATATTATTACAGCTCATTGTATTAATACAACTTGTTATAGTATTACAGCTCTTTGTATGCATACAGCTTGTTATATTATTACCGCTCATTGTATTGATACAGCTTGTTATATTATTACCGCTCATTGTATGGATACAGCTTGTTATATTATTACAGCTCATTGTATGGATTCAGCTTGTTATATTATTACCGCTCATTGTATGGATTCAGCTTGTTATATTATTACAGCTCCTTGCATTAATATAGCTTGTTATATTATTACAGCTCATTGTATTAATACAACTTGTTATAGTATTACAGCTCTTTGTATGCATACAGCTTGTTATATTATTACCGCTCATTGTATTGATACAGCTTGTTATATTATTACCGCTCATTGTATGGATACAGCTTGTTATATTATTACAGCTCATTGTATGGATACAGCTTGTTATATTATTACCGCTAATTGTATTAATACAGCTTGTTATATTATTACAGCTCATTGTATTAATTCAGCTTGTTATATTATTACCGCTCATTGTATTAATACAGCTTGTTATATTATTACCGCTCATTGTATTAATACAGCTTGTTATATTATTACAGCTCATTATATTAATACAGCTTGTTATATTATTGCAGCTCATTGTATTAATACAACTTGTTATATTATTACAGCTCATTGTATTAATACAGCTTGTTATATTATTACAGCTCATTGTATTAATACAGCTTGTTATATTATTACAGCTCATTGTGTTAATACAACTTGTTATATTATTACCGCTCATTGTATTAATGCAGCTTGTTATATTATTACAGCTCATTGTATTAATACAGCTTGTTTTATTATTACAGCTCATTGTATTAATACAGCTTGTTATATTATTACCGCTCATTGTATTAATACAGCTTGTTATATTATTACAGCTCATTGTACTAATACAGCTTGTTATATTATTACAGCTCATTGTATGGATACAGCTTGTTATATTATTACCGCTAATTGTATTAATACAACTTGTTATATTATTACCGCTCATTGTATTAATACAGCTTGTTATATTATTACCGCTCATTGTATTAATACAGCTTGTTATATTATTACAGCTCATTGTATTAATACAGCTTGTTATATTATTACCGCTCATTGTATTAATACAGCTTGTTATATTATTACAGCTCATTGTATTAATACAGCTTGTTATATTATTACAGCTCATTCCAATCATTTTCTCTTTTTTTTCAGACAAAATATTTGAATGGATTAGCAGTATTTTTACCTCTCCCTGATGTGATAATTACCTGTAGACAAACACTGGCACAATGAAGAACGCTGATTCACCCTCCATCTCTGATTGCAGGATGTTCTCCATCATGGCTTCAAATGTGTCCCGCCATTCAACAGGTTTGTCCAGGGGTAAAAAGTTCCCTGTGATAATACAAACATGACATAACAGCTGACATTATTGGTAATGTTACGAATACCATTCCACCATGAAAACAGCTGAGAATGTTACAATAATGTAGTTTAATAATAATAATAACGTATAAGTAATGCAGGAAGTAGAGTACATTGTAGTCTCCAAATTTCGCACACCTTGCACGGATACTGGAGATAAATAAATTAACAATCTATATCCTGATGGAAGATGAGTGAGGTATGTATATTATGGATATAATTATTTAATTTATATCTATTTGTGGTCCAAATGGAACCGACAAAACAAAGCCATCTTGGCCACTTATATTCATACACATAGCCCCTACAGATATTTATACACATAGCTCCTCCCACCGACAGATATTTATACAAATAGCTCCTCCCACCGACAGATATTTATACAAATAGCTCCTCCCACCCACAGATATTTATACACATAGCTCCTCCCACCGACAGATATTTATACAAATAGCTCCTCCCACCGACAGATATTTATACACATAGCCCCTCCCACCCACAGATATTTATACACATAGCTCCTCCCACCGACAGATATTTATACACATAGCCCCTCCCACCCACAGATATTTATACACATAGCCCCTCCCACCCACAGATATTTATACACATAGCTCCTCCCACCGACAGATATTTATACAAATAGCTCCTCCCACCGACAGATATTTATACACATAGCCCCTCCCACCCACAGATATTTATACACATAGCTCCTCCCACCGGCCGATATTTATACACATAGCCCCTCCCACCCACAGATATTTATACACATAGCCCCTCCCACCCATAAATATTTAAACATATTACTCATTCTATTGACAGATATTTGTACACATTGCTCCTGTACCCCATGCAAATAATTATGTTTATTAATGCTTTGACTAAAATAAATCAATATAGGTAAAGATCATGCATACAAAAGCAGTGCTAAGGGATCACATTACTATTATTCTATATTAGCACAGACATTAAGACCTAATAAGGCGGCTGTCTCCACACACATTAAATGTCCAAATCCTCTAGTGCAGGGTTTCCCAATTAAAAACTCAAAGGATGCAGCTATAAGAATACACATACCCTATGCTAATCTCTCTCTAAATTATGCTTTCATCTTTCAAGTAAATCCATACCCCTAACAGCAGTGTCCAGTGAAGAAGGAAGTCAATGGGCGGGGTAAAAGGGTGGGCCACTGTCACGAATCACGTGACCAGAACTGCCAAAAGGGGCGAACATGCCCAAAAAAGGGGCATGTCTGTCCATAGAATTGGACGCCCAGTCCCCTAGTCTTCCAGTGTCTCAGTGTCCTCATTTCTCCCTATGTCCCCATGTTTCAGTGTTTCCTTTGTCACTAGGATACTAGGGACACAGAGACATGGGGACACAGACACTGGGAGACTAGGGGACACTGGGAGGCATGGGGACACTGAGACACTAGGGGCACTGGCTGGGAGGCATGGGGACACTAAGACACATGGGGGCACTTGTGGACCCAGACATGGGGACACAGACACTGGGAGACTAGGGGACACTGGGAGACGTGGGGATACTGAAAAATTTGGGGGCACTGGGAGACATGGGGACACTGAGACATATGGACACTAGGGGAAAGATATTTGGGGAGTCTGGGAGGCATGGGGAAACTGAGACACTAGGGACACTGAGAGACATGGGGACACATACACTGGGAGACAAGGGGACACTGGGTGCCGTGGAGATACTGAGACACTAGGAACACGGCTGGGAGACATGGGGACACTGAAACATTTTGGGACACTTGGAGACATGGGGACACTGAGACACTAGGGACACTGGCTTGGAGATATAGGGACACTGGGAGACATGGGGACACTGAGACACCAGAGACACTGGCTGGGAGACAGATATTTGGGGACACTGGGACACATGGGGACAATGAGACACTAGGGACATTGGCTGGGAGACATGGGGACACTGGAAGACATGGAGACACTGTGTCCCTAGTGTCTCCCAATGTCCCTATGTCTCACAGTGTCCCCAAGTGTCTCAGTGTCCCCATGTTTCCCTGCTGTCTTTCCCCCCCATTCTTCACTTCCCTGAGCTGTTGTCTGTCTCTTATGAGATGGTGGTTGCGCGATCTCTGTTATTTCCGACCTTCTGGGAACAGCAGGTAGCAGCGGCCATTTTGCTATGGCAACGACCGGATCTCGCGAGAGTGAACTCGAGCCCGCAGGCTAGAGTTCACTCACCCACTAGAATCACCAGGGAACACCGCCACCCTGCCTCCCAGTCCCAGGTACCACTGTGCCGGTCCCCCCACTGTCTGGACTCTCTGTGCTGTGTAGCTGCTCCCCCGCGGATCAGTGAATAGAGAGAGGCAGGGCGGGATATGCTGTAACTTCCTATCCCTGCCTCTCTCCACACACAGTGACCCCTACTGGCTGGTGCTGGTATTGCGCAGTAATCTCCATTTATACTGAGAAAAATATCTGCATTTGTATTGCCAGTATTACTGCAATACCATCACGGCCAGGCAGCCTCAAATACCGGCTGTGCTGGTAAAATACCAGTCAGGTGGCAAACCCAAGAGTAGTGTGTAAAAAAATAGGCCTATTCCATGGGCCTGGGCCTGGAGCTGCAGCTCCATCAACCCCTATGTTAATCCGGCCCTGACTCTGCGTGGTTTTGCTTGAAATGACGACGTAATTTAGCAGGTGCCAATGAACCGTTTGGCAATATTTTATTGCAAAGTACGCATTGTGCTTCAGGACATCTTCATTTCTGGCTCTTGTGAATCCACATGACAAGTAGCTATCATCATATTTTCTCTTCTTTGTTTGAGAAGAAGATTGGCCGGCATTGTGTGCTTTTCTTTCTTTTTTTTTTTTCTGACTTGTCACTTGTCTCTGCTGTTTGAGGAACAGTAGAAACAACTATTTCGGGCATGTTTTCCGGATTTTTACTTGTATCTTCTTTCTCAGTTTCTATAAGTGCCGAACAAGTAGAAGTAGTCATTTTTCTCTGAAGTGTTCCCTTCTTTAACCAGCTTTCCAAATTAAAAAAAAAAAAAAAAGATTTGAACACTTTGAAAAAATACAGTTAACAGTTTTTGACCCCTGACAGTCTTTCAATGCCCCTGACAGAGCCTTTCAGTGCCCCTCAAAGAGTATTTCAATAACCCTGACAGAGCCTTTTGATGTCCCTACCAGAGAATTTCAATGCCCCTGACAGTCTTTCAATGTCCCTGACAGAGTCTTTCAATGCCCCTGACAGAGTCTTTCAATGTCCCTGACAGAGTCTTCCAGTGCCCCTGATAGAGCCTTTCAATGTGCCTGCCTAACAGATTTCTATGTCCCTACCTAACAGAGCTTTATATTTCCCTACCTAACAGAGCTTTCTATCTGGCAATAACAGAGCTTTAACTATCAGCTCCACTCTCTATCACTCCTCTACCACGAGTGATAGATAATGGCTGACGGCAGGGCTGGCTGACTGCTGGGCGGGCTCTCTCATGGACTAGCTAAGTTCCTAAGTGGCTGGCTGATGGCAGGGCAGGCTCTGACGGTAATGCGTGCTTACGGCAAGGCTGACGGCACGGCAGGCCGGGCTTAAGATCGCGCTCCCGCGATCTTTTATGAGATCGCGCTCCCGCGATCTTTTATGAGATCGTGGTTGCGCGATCTCTGCTGTTTCCGACCTTCTGGGAACAGCAGGTAGCAGCGGCCATTTTGGATGTGGTAAAATGCTGTGGAACCCCAGTTTTGTTTGGAACACCAATTGAGAAACGCTGCTCTAAACAGTAATTTCTATTCACTCCAAATTCATAAAAAATAATGTAAACATAGAGAATCGCCGAGGTATTAACAGTCCAGTGCTGTGGTCAGATATGGACATCCTGCTTGTTTTTATATCTCACTAACAAAGTGCTAATTAAAAACACAATTGGTACAACTTATCAGGGGCATGGGTGCTAATGTAATATTCCAACAGATGAAGGGCCAAAGCTCTCACCCCTTAAAGGGACACTATAGTCACCAGGTGAGGTGTGGCTCGGGCTGCATAAGCAGAAACAAAAGTGATTTAACTCCTACATTGCAGTGAATTGAGCAGTGAAAGTTCAGAGGCGTGATTTATACATCAAAATGTCTAAATTAAGCTAAAGTTGCTTTGGTGACTATAATATTCCTTTAAGGTTACTGTAACATATGCCCTGTTCCCGAATATTACTTTAATTGTAATACTAAAAAGAGGAGCACAACTAACTGAAAATGCAAAAAAACACTACTTTTTTTTATACAAGAATGCACAAAACAGGTATCAGTATAGTCATATTGCAGTGACAATATAAACAAACATATATAGAAAATATGTAAACAATAAATAGACCCAAAAAGGAAGCGATCAGAAATATTCTGATCCAAGTAGTACAAACTAAATGGTGTAAGCACCAATATAATGAAACAATATTATGATACCTGTAAAAAAAAAAAAGATAGACCCTATCAAGGAACACGAGAAGAGGGTGAAGACATCAAAAAAATAATAGCCCCCAACGTTTCGGCGCTATCCGCCTTTATCAAGGGAGCATGTGGTCAAAAAGAAATAAAAACCTTTATATACCAACATTTAATGGCAATGAAGAACACCTAAGTGACTGGAACTCTCACAATCATAGTCAGCTGACTATGGTTCATAAGGTAACCAATACACCAACAATGTCCAGATTTCATTATGATGTATGTGAAATCTGCATTTGTAAGCCGGAAAAGGAAATACTAGAACATACGGATAGGATATAATATATAATTGAAGCAACACAGATATAATCTCCTGTACAATATATGCGCACACACAATGCCCATGAAAAGAGATGTGCATATAACCCAGATCATCCTATTCACACATATGGCTTCTAACTTCTACCTCAATCCTACGAGATGTCTGGCCAGGCAGCAGGGGTAAAGGAGATCTCCCCATCATTGTTTAGATATGAAATCACCGCTTTTGCCCGTCAGTCTGCAAAATCACAGAAAGATAAATACGGGGAATGCACATGCGTTCCACCATCTCACAAAGCTACAAACGCGTCAGCATCTGTCCGCTGGAAAAAACGCAGACAGACAAGACCGCGCATGCACATATAAAATCAAACTAAGATCGGTGTATGGAACGCAACTTGTGTTCCACAATGCAGCTGCGCTAGTCCCATAAAAGGGATCCAAATAGGCATGCGCTGACAAAAAATGAAAATTGCGCTGGTGGAGACTGGGAGTACTACAGTGCATATAAATATGCATAGCAGTGTCTTAAAGGACCACGATTATTAATGCCATAATTAGCTCTGTGCTTCTCACCCCAGAGTAATGTAAATCCCACAGATTAAATCAAGTCTGTCATTTGAGTAAGAATCTGACAATGGGTGTAGTTAACCTTTTAGGATGTTACGGTTTAATACCCCTTAATTGTTTATATAATCTTCTTCCCTACAAAGAAAGTGTACTTTTTCCACTGAAAGGCTATTCCAGGTATCAAATACCCTTTCTATATCACTGTTACTGCTCCCACTGGGAGGCTATTCCACGTATCTACTACCCTTTCTATATCACTGTTACTGCTCCCACTGGAAGGCTATTCCAGGTATCTGCTACCCTTTCCATATCACTGTTACTGCTCCCACTGGAAGGCTATTCCAGGTATCTACTACCCTTTCTATATCACTGTTACTGCTCCCAATGGAAGGCTATTCCAGGCATCTACTACCATTTCTGTATCACTGTTACTGCTCCCACTGTGAGGCTGCTCCAGGTATCTACTACCCTTTCTATATCACTGTTACTGCTCCCACTGGAAGGTAATTCCAGGTATCTACTACCCTTTCTATATCACTGTTACTGCTCCCACTGGGAGGCTATTCCAGGTATCTGCTACCCTTTCTATATCACTGTTACTGCTCCCACTGGAAGGCTATTCCAGGTATCTACTACCCTTTCTATATCACTGTTACTGCTCCCACTGGAAGGCTATTCCAGGTATCTACTACCCTTTCTATATCACTGTTACTGCTCCCACTGGAAGGCCATTCCAGATATCTACTACCCTTTCTATATCACTGTTACTGCTCCCACTGGAAGGCCATTCCAGATATCTACTACCCTTTCTATATCACTGCTACTGCTCCCAGTGTGAGGCTGCTCCAGGTATCTACTACCCTTTCTATATCACTGTTACTGCTCCCACTGGAAGGCTATTCCCGGTATCTACTACCCTTTCTATATCTCTGTTACTGCTCCCACTGGGAGGCTATTCCAGGTATCTACTACCCTTTCTATATCACTGTTACTGCTCCCATTGGAAGGCTATTCCAGGTATCTACTACCCTTTCTATATCACTGTTACTGCTCCCACTGGAAGGCTATTCCAGGTATCTGCTACCCTTTCCATATCACTGTTACTGCTCCCACTGGAAGGCTATTCCAGGTATCTACTACCCTTTCTATATCACTGTTACTGCTCCCAATGGAAGGCTATTCCAGGCATCTACTACCATTTCTGTATCACTGTTACTGCTCCCACTGTGAGGCTGCTCCAGGTATCTACTACCCTTTCTATATCACTGTTACTGCTCCCACTGGAAGGTAATTCCAGGTATCTACTACCCTTTCTATATCACTGTTACTGCTCCCACTGGGAGTCTATTCCAGGTATCTGCTACCCTTTCTATATCACTGTTACTGCTCCCACTGGAAGGCTATTCCAGGTATCTACTACCCTTTCTATATCACTGTTACTGCTCCCACTGGAAGGCTATTCCAGGTATCTACTACCCTTTCTATATCACTGTTACTGCTCCCACTGGAAGGCTATTCCAGGTATCTACTACCCTTTCTATATCACTGTTACTGCTCCCACTGGAAGGCTATTCCAGGTATCTACTACCCTTTCTATATCACTGTTACTGCTCCCACTGGAAGGCTATTCCAGGTATCTACTACCCTTTCTATATCACTGTTACTGCTCCCACTGGAAGGCTATTCCAGGTATCTACTACCCTTTCTATATCACTGTTACTACCCCCACTGGAAGGCTATTCCAGGTATCTACTACCCTTTCTATATCACTGTTACTGCTCCCACTGGAAGGCTATTCCAGGTATCTACTACCCTTTCTAAATCAATGTTACTGCTCCCACTGGGAGGCTATTCCTGGTATCTACTACCCTTTCTAACTGTTTCTAACACGTTACAGTATCACTTAATTTAGCTGGGCTTATATATTCTGTCATATTACAGAGATTCTAACTGTTCTTTCTAAATAATGCTACAGTACCTACCTAGTTGGGCGTATATTTCTCCTGTCATATTACAGAGATTCTACCCCGTTTCTAACACGCAGTACCTACCTAGTTATATATATTTCTCCTGTCATATTATAGACTTAACAGTACTCGCCTATTGGGCGCTTATATTTCTCCTGGGTCATATTAGACCCGTTTTCTAACACGCTATGTACCTACCTAGTTGGGCGAGTATTTCTCTGTCATATTATAGAGATTCGGAACTGTTTTCTAAATGCTATGTACCTACCTAGTTGGGCTTATATTTCTCCTCTAAGTCATATTATAGAGATTCTAACAGTACCTGCTCAGTTGGGTTTATATTTCTCCTGTCATATTACAGAGATTCTAACTGCTCTCTAACACGTTACAGTACCTACCTAGCTGGGCGTATATTTCTCCTGTCATATTATAGAGATTCTAACAGTACCTGCCTAGCTGGGCGTATATTTCTCCTGTCATATTACAGAGATTCTAACTGCTCTCTAACACGTTACAGTACCTACCTAGCTGGGCGTATATTTCTCCTGTCATATTACAGAGATTCTAACTGCTCTCTAACACGTTACAGTACCTACCTAGCTGGGCGTATATTTCTCCTTTCATATTACAGAGATTCTAACTGCTCTCTAACACGTTACAGTACCTACCTAGCTGGGCGTATATTTCTCCTGTCATATTACAGAGATTCTAACTGCTCTCTAACACGTTACAGTACCTACATAGCTGGGCGTATATTTCTCCTGTCATATTACAGAGATTCTAACTGCTCTCTAACACGTTACAGTACCTACCTAGCTGGGCGTATATTTCTCCTGTCATATTATAGAGATTCTAACAGTACCTGCCTAGCTGGGCGTATATTTCTCCTGTCATATTACAGAGATTCTAACTGCTCTCTAACACGTTACAGTACCTACCTAGCTGGGCGTATATTTCTCCTGTCATATTACAGAGATTTTAAACTGCTCTCTAACACGTTACAGTACCTACCTAGCTGGGCGTATATTTCTCCTGTCATATTACAGAGATTCTAACTGCTCTCTAACACGTTACAGTACCTACCTAGCTGGGCGTATATTTCTCCTGTCATATTATAGAGATTCTAACAGTACCTGCCTAGCTGGGCGTATATTTCTCCTGTCATATTACAGAGATTCTAACTGCTCTCTAACACGTTACAGTACCTACCTAGCTGGGCGTATATTTCTCCTGTCATATTACAGAGATTCTAACTGCTCTCTAACACGTTACAGTACCTACCTAGCTGGGCGTATATTTCTCCTGTCATTTAATAGAGATTCTAACAGTACCTGCCGAGCTGGGCGTATATTTCTCCTGTCATATTACAGAGATTCTAACTGCTCTCTAACACGTTACAGTACCTACCTAGCTGGGCGTATATTTCTCCTGTCATATTACAGAGATTCTAACTGCTCTCTAACACGTTACAGTACCTACCTAGCTGGGCGTATATTTCTCCTGTCATATTACAGAGATTCTAACTGCTCTCTAACACGTTACAGTACCTACCTAGCTGGGCGTATATTTCTCCTTTCATATTACAGAGATTCTAACTGCTCTCTAACACGTTACAGTACCTACCTAGCTGGGCGTATATTTCTCCTGTCATATTACAGAGATTCTAACTGCTCTCTAACACGTTACAGTACCTACCTAGCTGGGCGTATATTTCTCCTGTCATATTATAGAGATTCTAACAGTACCTGCCTAGCTGGGCGTATATTTCTCCTGTCATATTACAGAGATTCTAACTGCTCTCTAACACGTTACAGTACCTACCTAGCTGGGCGTATATTTCTCCTGTCATATTACAGAGATTCTAACTGCTCTCTAACACGTTACAGTACCTACCTAGCTGGGCGTATATTTCTCCTGTCATATTACAGAGATTCTAACTGCTCTCTAACTCGTTACAGTACCTACCTAGCTGGGCGTATATTTCTCCTGTCATATTACAGAGATTCTAACTGCTCTCTAACACGTTACAGTACCTACCTAGCTGGGCGTATATTTCTCCTGTCATATTATAGAGATTCTAACAGTACCTGCCTAGCTGGGCGTATATTTCTCCTGTCATATTACAGAGATTCTAACTGCTCTCTAACACGTTACAGTACCTACCTAGCTGGGCGTATATTTCTCCTGTCATATTACAGAGATTCTAAACTGCTCTCTAACACGTTACAGTACCTACCTAGCTGGGCGTATATTTCTCCTGTCATATTACAGAGATTCTAACTGCTCTCTAACACGTTACAGTACCTACCTAGCTGGGCGTATATTTCTCCTTTATATTTCTCCTGTCATATTACAGAGATTCTAACTGCTCTCTAACACGTTACAGTACCTACCTAGCTGGGCGTATATTTCTCCTGTCATATTACAGAGATTCTAACTGCTCTCTAACACGTTACAGTACCTACATAGCTGGGCGTATATTTCTCCTGTCATATTACAGAGATTCTAACTGCTCTCTAACACGTTACAGTACCTACCTAGCTGGGCGTATATTTCTCCTGTCATATTACAGAGATTCTAACTGCTCTCTAACACGTTACAGTACCTACCTAGCTGGGCGTATATTTCTCCTGTCATATTATAGAGATTCTAACAGTACCTGCCTAGCTGGGCGTATATTTCTCCTGTCATATTACAGAGATTCTAACTGCTCTCTAACACGTTACAGTACCTACCTAGCTGGGCGTATATTTCTCCTGTCATATTACAGAGATTCTAACTGCTCTCTAACACGTTACAGTACCTACCTAGCTGGGCGTATATTTCTCCTGTCATATTACAGAGATTCTAACTGCTCTCTAACACGTTACAGTACCTACCTAGCTGGGCGTATATTTCTCCTGTCATATTACAGAGATTCTAACTGCTCTCTAACACGTTACAGTACCTACCTAGCTGGGCGTATATTTCTCCTGTCATATTACAGAGATTCTAACTGCTCTCTAACACGTTACAGTACCTACCTAGCTGGGCGTATATTTCTCCTGTCATATTACAGAGATTCTAACTGTTCTCTAACACTTTACAGTACCTACCTAGCTGGGCGTATATTTCTCCTATCATATTACAGAGATTCTAACTGCTCTCTAACACGTTACAGTACCTACCTAGCTGGGCGTATATTTCTCCTGTCATATTATAGAGATTCTAACTGCTCTCTAACACGTTACAGTACCTACCTAGCTGGGCGTATATTTCTCCTGTCATATTACAGAGATTCTAACTGTTCTCTAACACTTTACAGTACCTACCTAGCTGGGCGTATATTTCTCCTATCATATTACAGAGATTCTAACTGCTCTCTAACACGTTACAGTACCTACCTAGCTGGGCGTATATTTCTCCTGTCATATTATAGAGATTCTAACAGTACCTACCTAGCTGGGCGTATATTTCTCCTGTCATATTACAGAGATTCTAACTGTTCTCTAACACGTTACAGTACCTACCTAGCTGGGCGTATATTTCTCCTGTCATATTACAGAGATTCTAACTGCTCTCTAACACGTTACAGTACCTACCTAGCTGGGCGTATATTTCTCCTGTCTCACGTTTGTCCAATTTCACACAGCCTCGGTTATCCACCAGTTTGATGGTCTCGGTGAGAGGGAACGCATGACGCTCCATTGTTTCAGGCGCACCTTCTGAGCTCTTTGCGTAGACATGGTAGCTGCCATCATCTACCACGAACTTACAAGAGTTGATGTAGCAGGATTTTCCATGACCTGTATAACCAAATAACTGCAGGAGGACGCCCTGATAGCCTTGGCTGCCGTGAGGGCTACAGTTGTCCATCTTGAAGTTTTTAATGTAACTTCTCATATCGTCAGCACTGATTCCAGCCATTTTAAAATGTGATCTTCTTGAAAGTTCTTTACTGAAAAGAAACAGCGCAAACAAGATCTGTTCACCGAACAAGACAGAAAGTGAAAGCGAAGATAAAAGAAGACTCATACAAAAGAAAACCAAGATGACAGGAAACATACACCTCAAGCGTTCCAAAAGACGATGGGTGGAAATGTAGTTAATACAAAACCAAATATGTGAGGAGTGTGCAATATTGTGTTACAAAACCCCCAGCTAGAGTAATCTGGAGTAACATTTTTTCTACTTTGAATCAGAAATGGGAATTGTAATCTGTTTGTCAGATTGAAGACCTAGATATTTGTGTTTATTTAAAATAAGCCTTTTTATTTTCCCTATATGTATTTCTGGGAACAATAAAAACGCAGATTTTAAACGAACACAAATAACCGTATGTAGGTCTTTTCAATCTGACAAACAGACTACAATCGTTCACATTTCTGACCCAGAAAATGACACCAGATTACTCTGATCGATAACATTCAATAGCAATATATTGTGCGGGTGGGGGTCATTATTTATTTTGTACTCTAAGGAATTTGTCCTTTAATAAACGCACCATATGGTCACTAGACTTTCATCCATTCGTCCAAATTCTGAATGACCAAAAACATAACAATATTAAAATAGGTAAATGGTATAATAGATAACAGGGGTGTGAAGATACAATTATTAGATTTGGGGCACATTGGATTATCCTGTATTTCATCATTGGTTTTAGAGAGTCAGACTTTATAATCATCTTCTAGAATCTAGATTAGTGGGGGGGGGGGGGGTTGTTTTTTTTTTTAACTCCTTAAGGACACCGCTTCAGAAGCATGTCTTACCCTTAAGGTCACAAGCACTTTTTGCATTTTTTTCTGTTTGTGTTCAAACGCAACTTGCATCTCTGTCATGTTATGCACCATCACATATTATATACCGTTTTTTTAGAGGGCAAAATGGGCTTTAATTTGATGTAATATATTTATAGATAAATTCTCAATAAATATTACAAATGCCAAATAATGGGGAAAAAAACAAAAAATTTTTTTCACAGTTTTGGCATTGGTTTTTGGTCATCGAGTTCATGGAGCTCAAATCGGATACGCGACAGCACGAACACCCCTGAACTTTACCTTCTCCAGCACATAGCTTCTTGCGATAGAAAGCTAGAGGAGAATGATCACCGTATGGATCAATTTGCCCAGGCCTTCAGTATGCTTCTTACTTGAACAGCGCATCTGCAGCCTGCGGCTTCTCCGACTGTGCCACCTCCGCCTAGTGTACCTCCACTTATAGTACATAAGGCACCTACCATCTCCCTATCTCCTCCCCCGCATTTTGATGGTAATATTCAAGAATGCCGGAGATTCTAAAAACAAATTGAGTACCACTTTGAGGCATCACCTGGTTCATTTACCATGGATAGAGCTAAGATTGGGTATTTGATGAACCAACTTAAGGGTAAGGCCTTAACTTGCGCCAACCTAAACCTGCTGTCCCTTACCTCCTGGTGCAACCTGAATCTGAACCCATGCAACTAGTGGTTACAAGATTGTCAGAGGCGGAGAAACAGTATAGGAGAAGAGAGGGTCTATGCTTAGGTTGTGGCAAAAAGGGACATATGAGAGATACTTGTCCTATACGCCCGGAAAACTTCCGCACCTAAGAACCTTAATGGGACAGGTCTTAGGTGTGATGGATACGTCCTCTAGTCATAACCAAGATAGATTTCTTCTTGAAATTGTCACTCTTTTCAACAAGAAAAACGTTTCATGCAAAGCCCTGGTAGACTCAGGTGCAGCAGGTAACTTTATTTATATGTATTTTGTTATAAAACACGCTATACCTGTTAAGGATAAAAATCTTCACCTCTGGCTATTGATGGGAGACCTCTCTCTCAACCACTGATTACCCACAAGACCTTGCCTATTTGTATCATTATAGGAACATTGCATAAAGAATTCCTTACATTTCAGATAATCGCTTCCCCTTCGTGTCACATGATATTAGGATTCCCTTGGCTCATCAAACACAATTCTCATATTGACTGGACCAAAGGGGAAATACTGGAATGGGGTGCAGACAGTTAGGAGGGTTGTATGTCACCTCTTACTAAAAGAGTGGGCATCGTTACTTTACCTACATTACACCCACTACCCCCGAAATACCCATGCAATATTGGGAGGTTAGGGAAGTGTTTAATAAAAGTCAAACTAATGTTCTACCTCCACATAGACCATATGATTGTTCCATTGATCTGCCGCCCTGGGCTATGCCTCCTAAAGGGGCGGTATATGCTCTATCCCCACATGAGAGTAAAATTATGAAGGAGTACATCAGAGATGCCTTATGTCACATACGCAAATCATCCTCCCCTGTTGGTGCAGGTTTCTTTTTCATGTCTAAAAAGCATGGAGAATTATGTCCGTGCATTGACTATAGGGCGTTAAATAAAATGACCATAAAAAATGCCTATCCCATTCCCCTTATCTCCGAATTGTTTGACAGGGTGCTAAGATCTTTACCAAACTTGACCTCAGGAGTACATAGAATTTGGTCAGAATTAAGAATGGTCACGAGCGGAAAATGGCATTTAACACTAGAAATGGACACTATGAATAACTGGTTATGCCCTTCGGGTTGGGCAATGCCCCGGCTGTGTTTCAGGACTTCGTTAACGATGTGCTACGAGATTATATTTACTCTTTTGCACTTGTATACCTGTATGATATCCTTGTTTATTCCCCTGACCTCTAGACCCATCATGATCATGCTAAACAAGTATTACAAACTTTACTCAAGAATGGTTTTTATTGTAAACTTGAAAAATGCATGTTTGATCAGCTTGAAGTACAGTTTTTAGGGTATAATATATCCACCTCTGGCTTCCAAATGGATCTTTGCAAACGAGAGGCTGTTCTACACACTGGTCATTCTGCCTGATGGTAATCCGAGAGTGCGTTCCTGATCTTGATTTTTTTGGTAGCTTTTTCTCATCGTTGTGTCTGATTCTCTATCCCTGACCTCGGCAAGTATTCTGACTATTCTTGGATACGTTAAGTCCGTGGACTATTCTTGGATACGTATCACACCTAGGACGTTATCCTTAGTACTAGGTGTGATAGAGTTCTACGTGCGGGATCAATTAGTAATCCTGACACTCAGAAGCCAAGGTGCGAAATTCGATGGCATAATCTAAGATAGACCGGTTCCCCTGTTTGATATGCATTAGGGCAGTGGAGGCATCTTCCCTGCCTAATGGTTCAAATGTTAATTTGAATTCTGCAAGGAATTCCTGGTAATTACATGCAACACACCTATTACTCTACCATGAGGGATTGGCCCAAGCTAAGGCTTTACCTTTAAGTTGGTTCATTAGCTAACCAATCTTAGCTCTGTTCGAGGGAAAAGATCCTGGTGAGGCCTCAAAGTTGTACTCAATTGGATTCAAAAATCCCCTGCATTCTTGAATATTACCATCAAAATGCGGGGTAGGAGATAGGGAGATAGTAGGTGCGTTATGTACTATAGGTGGAGGTACATTAGGCAGAGGTGAGATAATCGGAGAAACATCAGGCTGTAAATGAGCCATCCGAGTAAGAAGCGTACTGAGAGCCTGGGCAAACTGATCCATACAGTGATCATTCTCCTCTAGCTTTCTCTCGCAAGCTGCTTTCTGCTGACACAATTCTGCAGGATCTATGGCCATGTCGTAATGTCAGGATAACTAGTTGATCCAGCACGCAGAAATGTCTCACACCTAGGACTAAGGATAGCGTATAACCGGACCTTAGAATGACCAGACTTAACATACCAAAGAATAGTCAAAATACTTGCCAAGGTCAGGGACACAATGAGACACAACGATGAGGGAAAGCCAAACGTCAAGGATACCAGAATACAGGGAAGTCAAAACAAAGCCAAAGTCAATAACCAGAAATAAACTCTCAGGAACACACTCTTGGACAACCACAAGGGAAACCACTACAGGGCAATGAGGAAAGGCAAGAAAGGAGTTTAAATAAGTCTCCTTTGAATCTGATTGGCCGTACCCGGCCTCTGACCCCAGAACGTGCGTCCGCGTCCTTTGCATGACGTCACACGCATGTTGATATCGTCAATATTGTGGGTGGACTTGGGGCTATAAATTGGTACAGATCTACAGTGGCCAGCGTCTTTCAATATGGAGTCAGACCCACCGGCACAAGGCTGCCGATCAACATCTCTACCAATGCCCGGAAGGTAGTTAACCCCGGAGACACCATAAGGTGAGGATGAACATGTGACAGTCAGGAACTGTACTAAACTCAATTATCTCCATGCACAAAAAACACACATTTCACAAACACCCCAAAGTACCTTAAAAATACATATAAACCCCACAAATGTTATATATCCTGATAGCCCCGATCTTGATGACCACCATATCCAAAATAACCCAGATTGGTTCAGGGGTTCGGGAATTGGAAGTCTTAATTTGACCGACCGCACACGAGGCTCCTGCCCAAAACAGTTCTATGGAATCAGGGCTAGTGGTCGCACTAGTTCGGTAGTTTAAAACCGAACAAACTACCGAACATGGTCAATATTCTTACCCTGGAGCTTGTTTTCCTTGTTCATGGGAATGTTTCCACTGAACAGTGTCTTCTTAATGTGTTGTAGAACTGAATGCAGGTGATGCTGGAAGTCCAGCGGTGTTCGGGAGTTTCTGTGTCTGTTTTAAGTTGAACTCGACGACCAAACACCGCTGCCTGCGTTTGTGCGAACAAGATGGCTGCCACCTCGTAGTCATCCATAGGAAACGCGGCCACCCCGACAAACATAGAAACATAGAATGTGACGGCAGATAAGAACCATTCGGCCCATCTAGTCTGACCAATTTTCTAAAAACTTTCATTAGTCCCTGGCCTTATCTTATAGTTAAGATAGCCTTATGCCTATCCCACGCATGCTTAAACTCCTTTACTGTGTTAACCTCTACCACTTCAGCTGGAAGGCTATTCCATGCATCCACTACCCTCTCAGTAAAGTAATACTTCCTGATATTATTTTTCAACCTTTGTCCCTCTAATTTAAGACTATGTCCTCT